TTTGATGACTTACATTTAAAGTGTAATCAAGTAAAATTGAAAAATAATTTATTTATTTTATTGTTTTAATAATTATATTTTTTTGTTTCAAATGCTAATATATTTATCAATTCATTTTGTATGTTATGTCCAATATAATGATTATGAGTCTCACCGTGTTGAATACGTTGTATATGTTTCTTGCATTATTTGATTAAACTCTGCAATCATTTCAATAAGGCTTAAAAAATTCTCATTATTTTCTTGATACATTTTCTCTTTTTTTTCTATGAAATGCCAAATTATTTTTCGCAAGATTTTTCACAACAACAATAATTCTTTGTAAAACTTTTTTGAAATGATCTTTCCCTTTATTCTCCCTTTATTAAATTGTTCTTGGATGCTTTTATATTTTGTCTTATTCTTTAACAACTTTGCTTCTAAATCTACCCAATCGTTCGTGTTAGTAATACGCTCATTAATTGTTTTGTGATTTTTAAGCTTAGCATTAAGATTTTGCCAATTTCTAGTTCTGTCATTAGCTAATTGACTTGTGTTATTTTTTTAATCATACAATTTATAACAAAAAAAAATATATATTCTATCTAAATCTTTTGAATAGACGGCTATTTTCTATCATGCTTCTCTCGATTTGATAATTTCTGAATATATTATGCAGCTAAAAAATTCCTAGAGTTTTCATCTTTTGAAAAATTAAAATCATTAATCAAATTGAACCATTTTCTACTAATAAATCTCTTATTTTTGTATCAATATTTCTTCATTATCCAGGATTATAGAGCTATATTTGTGGGAATAGACTTTATTTTTCTTATTTGTTTCACTTTCTTCCAAATTTTTTTCTTGTTCTTCATAAAGATTTTTCTTACTATACATTTGATTATTATGAATCAAGTCACCAATATATTTATAATCTTCTAATTCTTTTAGATGATTTGGTTGTTCATTTATTGAAATTTCACTTAATTTTTTTGTTATGTGTTTTATTATTAGTTGTAACAAATTACATTTTTTAGATTGAATTAGTTTATCTATTATTCTCTTCTTTTTAAATTTTTCGTGTTTGAATTCATACTTTCTAGCTGATTCAACAATATAAGTAAAAATCGTTACAACTCACAAACAAAATATACAACTTTGTAATAACAAAAATTAATAAAACTAAAAAATAATTTAAGTAAAAGAACCTGATTTAGAAAGACCAGGGCGAATCCAGGAATTGTCAATGAGATGGACTAATATTTCTTTGGGTGGGCTAATATTAGTAATATATATATATTTTGACTGGCTTAAATTGGGTATAGTAAAATTTTTTTTTTTTTTTCGCTGGATCCGCAAGTGGAAAGACCTAATCCAATACTCCTACAAATTCTTCAATAGAATAAAAGTGCTATCATATTCTTTCAAATGGATTGAAATTGTAAATTGTAAATTGTAATGAATATTGAGTGGAAAAGAAAGAGAGTTGTGAACTTGTAATGAGAGATGAGTGAAATCACTTGTCCAGAGAGGAGGGAAAGTACGCGAGGAATAAGAATGAAAAAAAAAAAAAAAAAAGTTAGTACAAAACAATATTGAAAGTTTCACAGTTAAATACATATTTAATTATTACTGCTTATGTAACTTATGAATTTTTTTTTACTGCAGGTGTAAAAAAGTGAACGACGAGAGAGAAAAAGAGAGAAAAAACGGTCTATTTAAGGATATAAACCTTTGTGGACCCAATATTAAAATTTTATATTGGTTAGGGTCTAATAATATTAACAAATAATTATAATATTAGGAATTTTAAAAATTTTGAGGTCTTCCTATGGAAGACATTGTTTCTTTTTCCTAAAAGATACAAACTTAACTTACATTCTTATACATTTTTTTTGAATTTTGTAATTTAATTTGTATTTTCTAAACAAAATTTGTTTTACTCATAATATTAGGGAAACAATATTTGTAGTCCACTTTTCTATTTTTGCACTCCAATCTTAAATGAAATGGTAATTCTAATCTTAACTTTATAAGTAAATGATTTTTAATTTTAAATCAATTGCTCTTTCAAATTTCCTCTCATTTTCTTTAATTTTTAATATTTTAGATCTCTTTCTGACGGACAAAAAAAAATTGAATAAAATATATTTTTTTCATGACCAAAAAAAAAAAAAAAAAAAATTTTATGTTGATAAATTGCCTCTTTTAACCGGACCATTAAAAAAATCGTCTCTTTTGAAAGAAATAAGACAAAAAATTGACTTGTAGCCTTTTTTTCAATAAATCTCCCTTGTCTAATTTTTTTATCAAAGAACCCCCCTCAAATATCTGAAAATGGTAAAAAGGTTGATATTTGGACCAAAATGCCCTTTTATTTAAATCTTAATTCTTTTGAACTTCAAAAATTCATATCTCATAAACTGTACATTTAAAAATTGTAAATAATATATGTACGGAAAGCTTATGAAATAAGGATTCTATAAATATAAGATTTGTACAACAAACTTTCATAATCAGAGAGAAATAGATAATCTAAACATCTACTTCAACAATCTTATTTTCTTTTTAAAAAATAAAATACTCGATATATTTGTAAGAAATTTTTTAAAATTATTCATTTACATATGAAGCCAAATACGTAAAAAATTTAGCCCCAGCAAAGATCGATTTTAAGAGATATCATATTTTGTGTCAAAGTATTTTCATTTTTTTATAGACTTTATAGAGTTACCATTTAAAAAAAAATGAATATTTGGTCTCTATTGGGGCTAATTTTTTTTATGTTAAGATCCATATGAAAATGAATAATTTTAAATTTTTTTTTTTGCAAATAACCCGAGTATTTTATAAAAAATAAAATAAAATAAGATTATTATAGTAAATTTTTAGATTGTTTTTTTCTCTCTGGTTATGAAGTTTTGTTAAACAAATCTTATATTTCTGGAATCTTTATTTTATAAGCTTTCTATGCATATATTATTTTCAATATTTGGATGTACGATTTGGAAGATATGAATTTTTGAAGTTCGAAAAAATTAAAATTTAAATAAAATGACATTTTTATCCAAATATCAAGTCTTTTATCCCCCTTAGATAGTTGATGGGGGTTCTTTGGTAAAAAAATTAGATAAAGGGGTTTACTGGAAAAGGCTACAAGTCGAGGGGGGTTTTCTGTACTTTAAACCCAAGAAAATATAACACAGAAAAAAGTAAAGGAAGTAAAGAAGGTAAAAAAAAAAAGTTAAAGTTGTATAAAAGGTAGTTATGATATTATAAAATAAGGCATGAGGCATTAATAAATTTGATGACCTTTTTATCATTTTATTTAAAAGAAAAATATAAGTGAAGTGTAATTGGAGAAAAATAAAATGCAAATATTGCCTCCCGAATTATATTAGTAAAACACATGAATTAAATTAGTTTAGGAGTTGCTCTTAAGTAGATTAATTTAACTCAATTTTATTTATATCGAATTAAATTAGTTTAGGAGTTGTTATTAAATAGATTAATTTAACTCAATTTTATTTATATCGAATTAAATTAGTTTAGGAGTTGTTCTTAAATAAATTAATTTAACTAAATTTTATTTATATTGAAAATATATTCGTGAAACCAAAATTCATTCTAAATATTTTATTAATTTAAGTAAGTCATATATGGGTTGGGTTTCACATCTTAACAAATATTTTTATTAACTGATTGTAGTCAATTATTTTTCTCATCGTATCTAAATTATGATTATACTAGTATTACTTTTATCATTCAAAATTTTATTTTATATTAATAACCATTATTTGTAGTCATTAAAAAAATCATTTATTTACAAAGTTTTGGAACTCTTACATTTTTACTAATATGACATAAAAACGGATACAATTTGAATTCTAAAAAATGGGGGCCATTTATATAATGTATACATCTCTTGAGAAATATTCTAATGTCTAAAAATTCAATCATGCATATTTCATTACTTTACGGTGATGGCAACGAGAGGATGACTTAGGCCCGTTTGGCTAATGTTTTTGTTTTGTATTTTTTGCTTTTATTAATGTATTAGAACGAAGCAAAAACACGAAACATGCTTGATAATGTATGCTGTCATATGAATAATAATGAAGTATTTTCAAAATTAAGATCAAAATCAGAAGTATCAAAATTATGCTTTTGTTTACTTCGACGTTATAGTAAAGCACCGGTCAAATTTTTTTTCATTACTTTATGAGTTTGATGGCAACAAGATGATGACTTGTTAGTAATTAATAATAGGGAATGCAATTACTTTCGGGAAAAAAAAGGGGTAACGCAATGAGCCTATGAAGTTATATCTCACTCATTATAATTTTTGGTTGTATTTTGGAATCATATAATTCGTCATAATCTTCACTGACCACTATAATAATTATAGAATAAAATTTATGTTGCGAACAAAAATGAAATGAAATGTTCATTCTAATCATTCATTTATTTGGTATGCAATTTAAAGAATCAATTCCATTGGAAAGAAAAATAATTATGCAACTAAATCCATTTCAAAGGTTAATTTTTATTTTTCAACTTTTATTTATAATTTATTTTACCCTTCTTTACAATTAGCATCTCATAATTTAATTAGATCACATTAAGCTAAGTTAATTAATTTGAGATTAGTTTAACTCAAGTAAAAATAAGTTAACTAATTGTTATTTTTCTTTCTTTCTTTCTTTTGTTTTTTTTTTATTTTATAAAATTATAAAGAAAATTCATTATTATTATTATTATTATTATTATACATCAATCCTAAAGAAGAAAATATATCTCCTTAGAAGTGTGTGAGGCTATCTATTATTTTTTATTTAAACTTTTCTATTTCCTATTTCTTTATGAGCTTAATTTTGTTAAAATATTATGACTTGTAAAATCCATCACATTAACCTAAAGTGCATTATAATATTATACACAATATACTTTACATAAAGTATATTGTGTATATATATATATATAATATATTAGTATATTATAGTGCAAAGTCCAAGCATAAGTTACATAACCACCCTCCCAATTTCGCTCTCGTCTTCACAAGCTCTTCACAGTCTCGCGTGACGTTTATTAATTTTTTTCTTTCAATTTTTGGATATTTTAAATTATTTTTGGTTTAAATTTTGGGAACAAATAACGAATCGCTTAAACTCACTCACTCAATTCAAAACCCAAATCTCGTATGTATGGCCTTTCACGTCGCTTGCCCAATTACATGGTACACAAACCACTAAATCTATATATCTCAAACCTACGATTTCTTCAAATTTCGCGCTCTCTCTCTCTCCTTCTCTCTCTAAAACTTGTGTGTTGTTTTCTCTCTCTTGCAGCCGTCGAATCTGCTACTGCGCGCTAGGGTTTCCCCGGAAGCTGCAGAGCGAGAAGGCACGGAATGGTTTCTTGGAGGAGGTGGCTAGGGTTGGGGAGTTCTTGGAGGACCCGTGGCTGATTAAAGTTAGGGAGAGGGACACCGTTCAGGTCGCTGTTCCTAAGGTTGTTGCGCCGGCTCCGCCACCGGTGACGGCGGTAGTGGCGGTGGCAGATGGAGGTAGTGGAGGCGATGGAGAGGAGTTGCTTTCCGCGCAGACGAAGAGGGCTGCGATGCAGAGGAAGGCGGCTGCCGCGTCGTTGGTGGCGGAGGATTATGCTCGGCGGTTTGAGTCCGGTGATTTGGTGGTGAGTTTTTGATTAATTTGAATTGTGATTTAGTTTTAGCGTTTGAAAATTTTGAATCTTTTGAGTTTGGGAAATTGTGTGTCTTAAAATATCAGCAAATGTAATTTTCTTTTCCCAGAAGGAATTTTTTTGGTGATGATCTTAAATCATACAATCAATTGAACTGTCTCACTAATCCATATAGGCATAGCATCAACAAATATAGCTGCACAGCATATTGTCCCAAAGAATGAGCTACATAGTTACACTCCCTTGGAGCGAATTTAACCTTCAAGTTAAGCTACCTTCTGACATCTTCCCACGGACATAAGATGGCCCTCATTAATTTCATTGATAATCATTTGAGCATTACCCTCAAAAACAAGTTTTTCTGCAGACCAACCAGCTGTGGAAGAGATGGCACTTCTCAGTGTAAGGAGTTCTGCCAAGGCAGCATTCCCTACATTTGGAAAATAAAACAAAGCAATGAAAACTACATTACTAAAATGCCCTCGTGATCACAAACAACAAGTCCACCACCCGATTCCCTTGTTGAGGCACAAAATGCAGCATCCACATTGCCCTTGAGTCATTCATTTGAAGGTGCCTTCCAGCTCAAACTCAGATCCTAGCAGCTGGCCTTATAAAATCCTCAAACTCATACTGTTGTGCAAAAGCATTTTGTAACACATCAACTTCGGACCATTCCTTCCCACTGAAAATCAAATCATTTCGCGATTTCCAAATATATTATAAAATAGACGCTGTCAATCCCAAGAGTCTGTCTTTATTCTCTTTGTTCTTCCATTTATTAAAAAAAGCAGGCCACCACTCAACCCAATTACCTATATTATGAGGATTGACATCAGTCCTTAAAGGTGATAATTTCCATATCTTCACAGCTCTTTCACATGTGATGAATAAATGAACTACTGTTTCTTCAAAACAATGACAATGCTTACACCAATCATCTTGAACAATTCCTCTTTTTAATAAAACAGTAGCCACAGGTAGTCTATTCTAAACACAACCTCCAAAAGAAATGCTTTGTCTTGGGTTTGATATTCAAACCCCAAAGTTTATTCCAAAAAGTACTATCCAAATTTCTATTACACTCACCTCTAAGATTAGAAGGAGAAAGATTGGATTGTTTAACTCCAAGGCCAAATTATATGCTGACTTCACTGGAAACACACCATGATTGAAGCAACACTACACTAATCTCTCATCACCATTTTCAAAGCCTAGAGGAATTTTCAAAATAAACTCCCAGTCGTCCCTCTGAAACAACTCCTTCACCAATGGTGTATTCCAATGTTGTAAGTCTGAATCAGTAAGCTGAGAAACCCATATAATTTGCCCACCTGTAGGATCAACACTTGAAACTTTAAACCCCCTCTTTCCACTAATCCAATTATCCTTCCAAATGTTAATCTCCCTTTTAGATGCAACTTCTCATTTCAGCCCAGCTTCGAATAATTGTTTAGCTTCAATAATACCTCTCCATGCCCAAGAGGGATTGCGACCCAATTAGCATGTAAGAAGGAGGTATGTGGAAAGTATTTATCAGCAAATGTACTGATAAGATAATATTGATTGATATTATATATGGTACCTATGCGTAGGAAACCAATTTTATTAAGCACTGATTCTAAATTTGTCATTTAACTTGTTTTAATATGTTCTGGTGTTCCATTAAAGCTTTCCAATTTTTTTTGGGTAATGGAGGGTATCCCCACCCCTCTGGGAGTGAAAGTAATTCTTCAGAGCAACCACCTTCAAGCAATGTATACTGGATAAGATTTCACATGGATTCAACAAAACATGAATGGTGAACAAGCTCGTTGAGCCCGTAGGCTTGTGATGCATGCTTGGCCTCTAGGAGTCAGAGCATGTGACCTAAAAAAGTTTTCATACTAAGCAAGTAATTTGAATTGTTCTTTTGCATTGGCATTAAATCCATTTTAGTCAACATTGATATTTTGATTGGTATCGTAAAATTGTGATTTCATTGATTACTATCTGCGTATCTATTTTAGTTGAAAAATGATGATTTTTAAATTTTTTTATTTTATTTTAATTTGTTCAAATGTTTCCTTTTTGGATGATCCAATTTGTTGGCATTGAGCGCATAGATGAGGATATCTAATTGTTGTATTTTCAAGTTTGTTATTTCTTGCTCTAGAATTTGAAGCTACATCATATTAAGGAGGATTTTGTTAAATAAAATGGGTTGCCAGTACTGCCATCATTTCTCTGTTTATTGCTGATCTTTGCCAAAGTGGGTTGCAGTGAACAAAGATTATGAGATTTTAGAGACAAATTTGTGTTTTTTTCCCCTCTTGATTTTCCCTATTGCATGTTATGCTATTTCAGTTCATCACTTCTTATACTTTATACGAATTGGATATATTCTGTAGTTTTCATTGGGATATTTAAGCCCATTGTCCTCGTATTCCAGCTGAATTTGATTGATTAAAATGATAAAACACTTGAATGCTTTTGCTTTCTTTTTTCTTTCTTTCTTTTCTTTTCCCCTTTTCGAAATGTGTGCCGTTACGAAATTTGCACTTGCATTTGTGCACACCCTCATTGCAGTGTCATGCAACCTCTTTGAATGAATGAGTTAGCTGATAAGTTCATGCTGGTACCTAAAGGTCTTGAACCTTAACTTGTTCACTTTTATGCTTTTATTTATCTAATCTACCTATATTTTTGGCAATATCAATCAATTATTTTTTCTGCCAGCAGGATGCCCCTAAAGATCTTCCTGGAGAAGAGCAAGGTCAGTCTAATGTCAAAGTTATGTGTAGGCTTTGCTTTTTTGGTGAAAATGAAGGAAGTGAGAAAGCAAGAAAGATGTTGTCATGCAAAAGTTGTGGCAAGAAGTATCACAGGAACTGCCTGAAAGCTTGGGCTCAACATAGAGGTATGGTTGTGCTCCAAAGTTGTTATACTACAAGGTTTTCATATTTTGATAAAGGGCTTGATTTTCAGATCTTTTTCATTGGAGTTCGTGGACTTGTCCCTCTTGCCGAATTTGTGAGGTACAAATTATGTACCTGTTCTTTTTGTTGATTCATTTTCTGAACTTGAACGTCAGGAAATGGCTGCTATATTCTCCTGTTCTATGAATCTGATGCTTTTTTCTAGCACTCATATTTTTATTGAACGGTTACTGGAAAACAAAAGTCATACTCTGAGCATCAACAGTATGAAAGTTTTTCCATCTTTGTTGCTTAAATTTATTATTGTATGCATCTGATGAAGATTAATTGTACATCTCTATTGCATGGATTCCTAAAATAATCACTTTCCTCATTTTGCTAGACACTTTTGGTTTCAATTACACCTACACTCTTGAGTGTGCTTCCACATATTTGTTTTCTGCTTTCATTGTTGTAAATTAAGGAAACATTTCCGAATAAGAGGGAGAGTATTTCAAGGGATACAATGTTACAGTCTTTAGTTCAAGAGGTCTTAATAGTGTTATGTACAAAAACGGAGATGTTTCCTTAGTCGTTTGATCTATTGAAAATGATAAGACCAGATTTAAGATAATTGTATAACTAGGTATGTCTTATGCTCTAGAATGTTTGAAGTCTAGAGGTCACATATCAATAGGACAAGTGTGTTTTATAAGTTGAGTTGGATGATGTACATGTAGATGAGCACATAATTAGATCCAATGATTTTTCAAAGCATGACTTCTAGATGTTTCTAGATAGGCGACAAGATGAAGAGAAATCTGATTTCAAATAAGAAAGGGAAGTACCTGATTTGTCCTTCAAGGATCAACTTTTTAAAAATATTCTCGCTTTGGTCCTGTAGATTGACAATTTATGATGGACACTTTCAAATGTTAAATGTGATTATGCAAAAAACTATACAGGTTTATGCATGGAACACTTTGATTCTTTCACTTTTTCTTTATTTTCCCTCATTTTATAAAACAATACTCTCTTTTATCGCTGTTATGTATGTTAACAAATGAAAAAAGATTCTCTCTCTGAAATGCTCTTATTGGATCATTAGAGCATAGTGAATTCATTAATGAGAAGAAAAGTCATGAACCAAAATGGCTCAACAGGCAGTTTGGAGGTTTTGCTTTTGTTTTGTTTGTTTGTTTGTTTTTAATGCAAATTGACTTCAGGTTTTGGTGATAACGATCCTATTTAAGCATACTCATTTAAATTATGTGACGAAAGTTCTCACATTATAACGAGGAGAAAAAGGAATTACTGGGTCTATTTCGCGTTTTCTTCCATGTTTGGTTCATCACAAAGAGAACCATACTCTTTCAATATGGTTTTCCATGTGTAAATATAACTTGCTCTCATTAAGAATTCAAGAAATTTTCTAAAATCCTTTTATCTAGCTGACCATTTTCGAAGGAATCTTTCTCCTGTGGTCAAGCTACCAATCTATAATGATGGAATAGGTTGTTGCATTTCTTCATTACTGTGGTCCCTTGAACTGTATTTTTTTCTGGTTGTTAGCCAATTTTCTGGCTGAACTCTCCTGATTTTGTCTGTTATATGATTAAGCAATTAACCTACATTTATGATTCCCTGCATTTCTAATTGTCTATTTGGTGCTTGTGCCGTTGGTCATTCTATCATCATCAGTTTGTAATTATGCCTTCTTTTTTTAACCATGTTGCTCTTATCATTCTATTTTCTGTTTACTCCAGGTCTGCCGAAGAACTGGAGATCCAAACAAGTTCACGTTCTGCCGAAGGTGTGATGGTGCATACCATTGTTACTGCCAGCAGCCTCCACACAAGGTGGGTTTTGTTTCTCTATTTGGCTATTCTTGGGCTCTTGTATTATGATCAAGATAGCTCGTCTTATCTTATTATTGAATGGCGCAGAATGTAAGCAGTGGACCTTACTTGTGTCCTAAACATACCAGGTGCCACAGCTGTGGATCTACTGTATCAGGAAATGGTTTAAGCACAAGGTATTGATTAGAGCTTCTATATTTCAAATATAATCTTTACATGATGGATTGATTTTTGGATAGTGTTAGCCTCTTTTCGTGTTTGGATATGACTTATGAGGGTAAAGAAAGGAAATGACAGTAATAACCTTTGATCGTGTTTGGGAAAAATGGTGGAGCAGTAAAAAGGAATAGTGTTTTATTTTGTGAGTGGCAAGGGTAAAACAGGAATTAATTTGTTGCAAAAATGGGGACAAAACAGGTAATTACTAACTCTTTATCCAATTCCTCCCACTTTTGAAAGGATAAGATAGTCACTCTTAAAAGGGCTAGTGAACCCCTCCTCCCTCCAAATTCTTACCTCTTCCTCCACTCTTTTATTTTATTTTATTTTTTTAAAGAAGACGCACAAGTTAGACTATCCTTCTATTTCCTTCTATTTCTTTTCCTTTGTTTGCGTCAATTTAAACGAGGACTAAGTGTATTTTTCAAAGTATAACCCCAAGGGGTTGGCTTCAGTGGTGAAGCCCTGGGACTTAGTGCCTCATGAAGCATTAAGTCTTAGGTTCGAATCCTCTCGAGTGTGATCAATCAATTCCTTAGGGGCCACGACCGCGGACATAGTCCGAGTTTTACCTGATTCGTGTGAAGGGGTTGCTTTGCACAGGTCCCATGGATAGTTGGGGCGAAGCCCCGGACACCCTGGTTATCGAAAAAAAGTGTATTTTTAAAAGTGTTTTTGAAAGCAATTTTACTAAAAAAATTCAAGTGTTCCAAAAATAGGACGTGCCGGTGGCAACTATTATATAATAAACATGAAATATTGATTATGCTTGTTAGGTGTGTACAATTAGATTTCTAGGACACGTATTTTCAAATCTTTGTAACAGTCTATATGTACTTGGCTTGGTGGCAAGTATTTGTTCTTTTGAGGCAATCCCTCCTCGAGCATAGTAACTTACTAAATGTATCCCTTTCAGAGAGAACTTCGATTATTATTATTTTTTTTTCTGTCTGGGGCTTTGACTTCTAACTGGAAGTCGGATCTTTAGGTAGAACTATTGAGGTGTGCACTTTTCGTGAATGGAGAAGTGGAAATTTATTCCTATACGATTGGTCTACCCCCTAGGATTTAACTAATGGCGATATTGGCTTCCTGTATTTTGAGAATAAAATCTCAGAGGTTGTCTCTTTAGAGAACTATAATTATGCTATGGGCTGAATATGATGGTTTTGGTTTTGGCTTCTGTATCTCATTTTTACTATCCATTTTTCTCAATGGATGGTCTGGCCGTATGTTTTAAGAATCCAAAGCTTTTGAACTTTGTAAACTGCTTATATTTTTGCAACAACCTATACTTCATGCACACAGTAGCTTTATTTAATAAGAGCTTGCGTATTTGTTCTTTATATGTTTGTTTTCTTTGTCATAACTTAACACTTCTGAATTTGTAAATGTGGTTTTATTAATTATCTTGCTGTAACTATGGATTGTAGTATTTCATTCATTTGGAGAAATCATCTGGCTTTTGAAACTTCTAGTGCATATTTGTTTCTCACTTGATGGGTAAATCAAATGGGGTGTGAATCGATATTAAGAATTAAATTTTGCAGTTAATTTTTGTATTACATCCATGGTTTTCATTTATTTTTCTAAAATACTTCTTAAATTATTGTTGTATGAGGATTTTAAGTTTAATTAAGGTTGTGAAAATCTTTGGCTATATGATGAAATCAATCTTTAGAAAATAAAAAATTTACAGTAGATGGGATTAATGTGCAAAAAGATGGGAGACAGATGACTTTTGGCATTTGTTTTTACTAGAAAGGTTACATATCTTTCAGCAGATGGGAATTGATTAACAATTGATGTTAAAATTTGTAGGTGGTTTCTAGGGTATACTTGCTGTGATGCTTGTGGAAGATTGTTTGTGAAGGGAAACTACTGCCCTGTTTGTTTGAAGGTATAATTTCTTGTCTTGATGAATGATGACCTTGACTCTCTAGCTTCCTCTATTTTACCAAGTAGAGGACTTCTGTAATTTTACACTGCATCATAGTTAAAATGCTTCATTTTCTGGTGAAAATAGTACCCTGACCGTAAGCATTTTACTGGTTTTTGTGAATTCGTGAAGTTGATTTTTGTTGACCATGCATTTTAGTGGTTTTTGTAAATGCATGAAAGTTAACTTCTTGCCATGTGAGTATTGATGTACTTTCCACTCATTGTCTGCACAGAATAAATTGACTGCTTGTTTGGCTCCAATGGTGTAGGTCTATAGAGATTCTGAATCAACACCTATGGTATGTTGCGATGCTTGTCAGCGTTGGGTGCACTGCCAGTGTGATGGCATCAGGTTTACTTTTGTCCTTTTTATTAGATACAAGCACAAGTATTAGTTGTGACATATACTGTTTTTGTTCAGATACATCTTGTCTAATGTTTAGTTTATATGAAGTAGTCTTGCCAATCTGTTATTTTGTTTGTCAACACTGTTGAATTTAATATGGAATCCTGTTGTTCTTTTTATTTTTTATTTTTTTCCCCGACTTTAATATGGAATCCTCTTCCTTTTGGGTGTGATTACATTGATAAGATGGTTCCTTTTAGGAGCAAAGCTGGTACTTTTAATTAATGTGTTAAAGCCAAGGTTTTGAGTTGTGGATGGAGTCAAGATGTAACGGACATGGGGTGTAATGGGTGTTATGTAATGGTATCGGCCGTTGCGGTCTTTATTTATTTGATCTTAAATGGCCTAAAAAGTAACGATGATGCAACCTTCAACTCCACAACCCAACAATATGGATTCTCAATGGTTTTAGTGGATTTTGTTGAATATATAATGGTGATTTAATATGAATAACATTACAAAACACATCTTTACACACCTTGTAAGCATTGAGATATAAACCATGGGAGAAACAAACACACACACAAGTTTCTCATATATGTTAAAATAAACATATTTTTTAGTGGCTTAACTAACACAGTACATTTAGGACATATAAGAACAAAAAATTTCAATTTCAAATTCAACCATAACATTTCTTTGGTATCATTACATGTACGAAAGGTACATATCAAACAATATTTTTACGTTAGATCCAAGCGAAAAAAGAAAATAATTTGACAAAGTGAAAAACTTACCAATTAATTAAAAGTAATGGAAAGCTTTGACTAGAGTTAGGCTAAGATGTTGTGAATTTTGAGTTTTGGAGGCTAGATCTGGCCTATAAACCACGTTTGGAGGGAGTGTGTCAGTGTGTGTTGGCTAGCAGGAGGAAAAAATGTAGAGGAAAGGAATTGCAGCCACTATGATACTAGCGGTTGCTGTGGGCCGTAACATCGGTGTATTGGATGATCTCGGCACCGTCATGGTCGACTCATGTGCTAATATAGTCACACCATACATCAGTGCGATTTAGTGTAGGTTCTAACTGAGTCTGTTGCAACTTGGCTGATATGGCGTGGCTTGTCAAGTCTTGTAAACCTTGTGTTGAACTGATTATCTAACCAGGATGGAATTGGCCCTAGGTCAGTTCTTCAATTTATTGGATCAGTACTGACGTGACACTAAATGAGAACTGAACCAACCTGGATCATGGACACCGGGTTCGGTTTGGTTCTCAGGTCGGCCAGTCCAAATGTGCATCCTTGCCGGTGGTGATAGTGGTAAATCCTAATCATTCCTCAACTATCGTCCAGGAATACGAAACTTGATGATTTATTTCGATGTTGAATGTTGTAACACGAAGAATTTCTAAATTTACCTCTCCCATTATGATGTCTATTTAAAATGATTCATTGGATGTGGGTGGAACATATAGGAAGAGTTACACTCCAAAAATTAGATATGCAGTCAAGGATTTAAATTTGATTCTCACTCCCCTTTTCTTGTCATTTTTTCCCCCTCCCAACAACGCAAGAACTCCCAATTGAGAATCAAGGAAACCTTATTTATCTGACTGGAAAACAGATCGGGTTATATTTCCATTGTGCATGTTTTCCAGTTTAAAACACTGATTGGGCACCTGACTGCTTTGAAGTTTATTGGTCTTTAATGAATTTTTGAGCCTATTCTTTTTGTTTGTTAGAAACTTCGAAAAATGATTAAGATTATGTATTTTTAAATTATTTGTTCAGCCTTTGAAAGGAGCTTTTGGGATGTGGTTATTTTCTTATAAGAAACCATGGTCCATGAGAATTCAATTAATGAGTGACTTTGGGGGCAATAGATGTTGCCTCAGTTGATATAACTGAGAAGTAATCAGGTTACACAGCAATCTGAGCAGGATATACAGTTTTTGGCTTTTTGTTTGCATCCGTTGTTGATTTTTATTCATGTTATTTTCCTTTCTTTCTTTCATATTAGTTGCAGAATCTGCTGACTCTAGAACTATTTGTTTGTTGTATCCAGTTGACAGTAACAATCCCTTTGAGCTTAATAGCTTGGAACCATTTTGAAACAATCTTTGGTATAAACTTGCTTATGCAATTTTAAAATTTTTCTGCAGCGATGAAAAATATATGCAGTTTCAAGCAGATGGAAATCTTCAATATGTATGTGCCACATGCCGTGGAGAGTGCTACCAGGTGTGTTTTGAACATGATTGTTTTGAGGGGAAAAATTCTTTGCAGCTGGTTGCTGATATAAGTTTATTCCTTTTAATACATAACCAGGTTAGGGATGTTGAGGATGCCGTTCAGGAGCTTTGGAGGAGGAGAGACAAAGTTGACCAAGATTTGATAGTGAGCTTGAGGGCTGCTGCTGGATTGCCAACCCAAGAAGAAATATTTTCTATCTCACCTTTTTCAGATGATGAAGAAAATGACCCTATTATATTAAAGAATGAATATGGCCGTTCTTTAAAGTTTTCTCTCAAAGGTTTAGTTGATAAGTCGCCAAAGAAGACCAAGGAATATGGGAAGAAATCTACAAACAAGAAGTACGGTAAGAAGAAGGGATATCTTCCTTCTTTAGTCAGTAAAATGGAAGCACATCAGAGTTTCGAAGGACATAGTGGTACGCCATCACTTGGATACAGCGGGGGTGATGACAAGAACGATGACATGCAGTCCCACAGAAGTGGAGAACTTTTTTCTTCTCCTGCTGCTGAAAGTTTGACTGAAGGGATATGCTCTATCAATCAGGCAGGGGTCCTGAAACACAAGTTCATTGATGAAATTGCAGTGAGTAATGATAATAGGAAATCAAGAATGGTTCAAATTAAAAATATTAAATCTCATGGCATGGTTAGTGGAGATGACATTGAAAAAAATGCTATCAAGTCGATGACTTCAAAGGGACCGAAGTTAGTTATACACTTAAGTGGGCGAAATAGAAATGTTACTAATTCTCCGGGGTCTGATGCTTCAAGCTATCAAAGAGAGCAGGAGTTGACAACTTCTAATGGTACGTCACCGTTTCTAGATATGTTTCCTTCTTTTGATAGTAAACTTGTTACATTTCGAGAAAAAAAGAAAAGATAGTAAATTTGTTTAGAAGTGACTTTTATGAGTTTGCCATACAAGAGGCAGAGGAAGTACAAGTTTAGTTTTGCTTACTTAAGTGAGTACAAGTTTAGTTGTGCTTCAATTTTGTGCACCATACTAGAGGGGTATAGAAATAGAATTACATCATTTTACCAAGTAGTGTGCTAGTTACAAAATTATTATATTCTAAAGTGGAAGAAGGATTGGCTAATTCTCTATGATGTGGCTTACAAACTCATACGATCTGGTGTTCCTATTTAACAGATACACTGGTCTTGGTGTCTGAATTGGATGATTAGATGTTTGGAAGGGTGGACTCAGAAACTAAGTGACTTAGGGCAGGTGTGCTATGAAGCACAGATATGGTTTCAAGACACAGTGCAACACAATACAAACAATAGAAACATGGTGATACGACAAATCTAAAAAAAAAAAGATTCAGAGACAGCAAGAATTCGATAAAAATATAATAATATATTATAAATACTAGTATATATACAAATTATTGATTTTTGATCATTTTATCTACATTAACATGAATGTAGTAGATTTTGCCAACTCCCTAATAAGCCTCGGGTCGAAGCGAAGGAAATATTTTGAAAAGAGGACAAGGAAGATTAGAGACTACGTGTGTGGATATTGGAGGGTCTTCATGAGAGAAATGGTGCAGAACTTAAAAGAAAAAAAAGTCAAAGGTGGTGTGCAGTGGTGGGAGGTGCTGTTGGTGGTGTGTGTAGGTGTTGGAGGGTTTTTCATTGCAGAAAAGTGTGTAAAAAAGGTAAATAAACAGAGTTGGAGTGCATTGTGCAGTGGCGGGAGTAGTTGAGGGTATGTGTGAAAGTGGTGGGTTGTTAGAGTGACTTGTGAAGACAAATGGTGGTAGTGGTGTGTAGAGCGGAAACCCTAACCCTAGAAGAATTAACGTACCCAGAAAGTGTACAAGAACAGATTCGATGGTGCCTCTTCCTCTTTTTTTTTTTTTCCTTCTTCTTTTTCTTCCCTTCTGTGGCACTCTGGTATCGATTGGTAATGCTTGGGGTGTGGGATTTTTAAAGAGCAAGCACCCTGACATTGGGCGCCCACAATATATATATATATATATCTGTGTGTGTGTGTGTTTGTTTGTTTCAAACCGCAATCTTTTAATATTATAAATGGGGTCTCCTTTCAAAGAAAAAAATTGCAAACTTACGCTGCTGTATCCTAAACACATCCCTCCTGTGTCCTAACCTCATCCAACTTAAAAAAAAAAAAAAAAAAAAAAATTATAAGGACAGGATTTTTCATGGCAGTATCTGACACGGTTCCAGTGCATATAGTGTCAGACAAGTTCATTACTCCTGTAATGGTAGAATAAAGTGGCAAAATTTGAAACCAACATTATTTTGATTTACTTTTGACTTGAATGAACGGATCATGTCCCAGAAAGGCGAACTTAAGGGTATAATTGTACATTAGAGTCTAAACCAGGTAGGTACATGCATAGTCATGCAAGCACTTGTATTTGTTACGAGTGAGACTGGTAGAACTTAACAACTCAGTTACTTCCTCACGTGGACATTGTAGGTCTCATGAATGAATGACAAATCCTGTAGTTTTCTGCCTTGAAAATGAAGTTCCATGTATGAAAGATATTTTGTGCAACTATAAAATCTTCAGCCCTTAAATTGCAGGAAATTATGCATGTGAATGAAACAAAATATCTTATCAGTTAAGTTCACTTGATATGTCAAGTAAATCTTGGCTTGTATTGACGGGCCAGAGTATCATAAGTGATAACATATTAACAATACCTTATACTGTTCTTGTTATTGTAAATGCTTTAGTGAGACAGAAACACTTAGCTTTTGTAATCTTATATTAAATGGTTGTAATCTTAATTTTCCAACCAGTGGCTCCATTCTTCTTCTTCCTTTTTTCTTTTCTACATATAAATTATCTTCTGGGTGTCCTCCATTTTTCCATTAGCCGATGAATAGTTTTTCATTTGGAAGGATTTATAGTTTTTCAGCTCTTAGGAAGCAGGATATAGACTTGATTTTTGTCAATTTCATGCAAAATGACTTCAATGACTGCTCTTACACTCGAGAACGTGCCCTTACACTTACCATCACGAGCTTTTACCATTGCATCAAGAAATGCTCGCTATATATATAAATCGGATGCCTTGGTTCAATATTTTAGTGTGGGTGTAGCTTATGTGGTTTTTGCACTGTTGCACATCAACAGGGAGCGGAGATATTGGCCAACTACAAATGACTGACCGGCGTATGTTGGAAAGACATGATGCTACAGCTAAATTTGCCAATGGTAAAGGTATTGTATACAAAAAGTTTTGCTCCTTATATCATCATGCCCTCTTGTTATGGCTTCTATAAATTGAATAATCCTTATACGACTTATTATTTTAAACACCATTTTTGTTTTATGTAACCTGCAGGAGATATAGTTGATTACTCTGATGAATTAAAGGTCTCTAAGTTTGGAAGAGAAGGCAACTTGATAAAGATCAGAAACATTAACTCAGAAGTTTCTGACATGAAACCTAAATTTGGTGAAGGGAATCTGGCTGATGGATATGAAGCTGTTTCACTGGTGAAACCACGTGTTTCATTGGGAAAACGAAGCATTGAAGGAAGCGCAGCTATGCCAGGGACTGAAACTGAAGTCCCTGCAGTACGGAGTGACAAGGCATCTTTAAAGAAGCATACGGAAGGTAGGCTTGATGCATCTCGTGATTCCATTAATGACAACAGCCGCACACCTTCAGTCTTGCATTCTTTACCAAAGGATTCCAAGCCTTTACTGAAGCTTAAATTCAAGAATCCTTATCACGAAAATCAAACTTCCTGGGCTCCTCATGGTGAGGAAGAGAAGAGTTTTGTTAAGGGCCAAAGGTCTAAAAGAAAGAGATCATCTCCCTTCATGGATAAAACATCAACTAAGGAATATGAAGATGCCGCACAATGGTATGAAGGAAGTACATTGGATGATGAGATCATGGATGCTAATTGGATACTGCAGAAGTTGGGAAAAGATGCAATTGGAAAGAGAGTGGAAGTTCATCAGCCTTCTGACAATACATGGTGAGTTTTCTTTTGAATCATTGGAAAAGGTAAAAAATATAGGAAATCCAAGGGTACTAGAAAACACAGTCAACCATTTTTTTCGAGTTGGTCCATTTATATTCTCCCGACCAAAAAAACAAAAAATAAAGTTGTTCCGTTATACTAAAGTTTTAACCTAGTACTTTGAAATTGAGAATAGTTTTGTAGGAATAATATAGGATTGTGACAAAATGTTCAAATGATGACTTGAACCTTTGGTATTCTCTAGAGAGAGTTTTGTGCATTATGGGCTGAATCTTCAATTTCTTTCCTATCAGGCACAAGGGAATGGTATCTGATGTCATTGAAGGTGCATCAATTGTGTCTGTTGCTCTAGATGATGGAAGGGCTAAAAACTTGGAACTCGGGAAGCAAGGAATTCGCTTTGTTTCTCAAAAGCAAAAGCGGTAAGACGCACAGAGGTTGAAGTTATTTTCTGGATAATTACATCATACAGAGAGACCTTCCATTTCACCAGTGAGGAGTTCTCGAGAGCAAAAACAGTCAAAAGTATGGGCGATTGTTTCATTTTGAGACTTCTGTTTCAGGGGTGTGGATCATTTATCGCGCGTGTGGGCTTTTGGCTATTTCAATGCAGCATAGTGGTTGTTAGGGTTTGGTTGTATCAAGAGCTAAACCAGGTTCTAATCTGAGGCAGGCACACCTTTTTTTCTTTATTTTTTTCTTCTCTTCATGTAATTTAGATTTTTGTGTCTCTCTTTCTCTCTCGTTATATTTTCTTTTCATTGTAAGTCTCAGAAAACACCTCTACGTATGTACTGTAACTCTGTAACTTAGTAACAAATATGTTAGCTCATAGCTTGTGGGCAGTTAGTGGGTCTTCATGTAATAGCATTTTCATTCAGATAGAAGATTTGTTGAAATTGTCCAATGTAATGATTTTTTTATTTTTAGTTTTAATTTTCCCCTTCTTGACGGGCAGAGTAGTGATGTAAGGCTCACTGGGGTTGGCTGCCACCTCTTTTGTATGTAATTTCTTGTTTTTTCAAGACTCTTCTGCTAAAAAAAAAATTCAGAAGTTCTTTTTCTTTATTGTCTTTGGAACTCCAACCAAAAAGTATATGTAGATTTTCTAACCCATTTAAGTTTTTAATCATATAAAACTAAAATCCAATATCAAACTTGGTGAAATAAGAGGGTGGTTTATATGCGACAATATTATCCTCCTTCAGGCGAATCAAAAAAGTGTGTGTGTGAGAGAGAATTTGAATGTTTCTATTTTGCACACATAAAAGCGTCCCTTTGACTGATCAAGCTCCATTTCATTACTTTCATAATCCATTTTAGCTCTCTACCTTAGTTCTTTGGTTCAGGGAGTCCTTGCCGCAATGGTAGGTTATCTGTTGTAACCTGAAGTTCAAGGATTCAAAATGAAAGACTGTCTCTTTGTATGCGGAGGTAAAACTATGTACATGTAACCCTTTCTAGAAATCCCGGAATGACAGATGTCTCATAGTTTTCCACTTCCATGTTATCATTACTTTCATATTCCATCTTAGCTCTCTACCTTAGTTCTTTGGTTCAGGGCGACCTTGGCGCAATGGTAGGTTATCTGTTGTAACCAGGAGTTCAAGGATTCAAAACGGAAAACTGTCTCTTTGTATGCGGAAGTAAGACTATGTACATCTAACCCTCTCTAGAAATCCCGCAATGGCAGAATCCTCCTAATTTTCTACTTCCAGGTTATTTTGATCCATTAAGGATTCGTACATAAAACTAAAAATTTAAATAACTTTTCAAGCTCAACCTTGACAAGAGAAATCAGCAGGAGAAACGGAATGGTCCATTCTCCAAAAATAAATTTTGCTGGTTGTCATTACCATTTCTTCTTTATCTTCAACCTCGCTGCAAGATGCAATTTGATTTATTTTCTACTTTTCTAAAGAGATCAAACTCTACTTGCTTCCACCTTTAATAAGCTGGAGACGATGATTTTCCGAACTGAGATTCACTGAGATTCTCTCTTCATTTCTTTCTACAGATCTCAAGTCACTCCACACACACACACACACACACACACACACACATATATATATATACATATATACATGTAAAATGAAGAACAGTCATTCTGTCTCTGGACACATTCTAAGGTGGTGGATTAACAATCATTCCTGCAAACAGTAGGCTAAAAAACATTACAATTTAGAAATGAAGTTCAAAGATAACAAGTATTATATTGTTCTTAAATTACACAGGAGGTGGTGGCAAGTCTATTAGGAGCCAAAATCCGACGCAGTCATCTGAATTCAAGTCCTCTTGGATGGCAAGGAAGTGCAAGCCTCCACAGGCCTTCTTTGCTTCTTCCCACGCTTCAGCTTCATTTGTAGTTACAGGTGTTTTCTTGTAAGTGGCGTAAATGTATCGAGTAGAAATTCCAACAGATAAAATCAAAGAAGCCCGAGCTACATCAGCTTCGATTGAACAGACTTCTAATCCATTCATCCATGCTGCAGTACATGGTAAGGTCAGCATTTGATCGTTAATAGAAATTACAAATATTGCATAACTAACAAGTATTGCATAATCCTTGTATGGTCGTATACGATTTTGTAGTGAATGCATAACTTTTCAGGTTTATCGCAATAAAGCATGATTTCATTCTTTAATGTTGAAAGAAGTTTCATAATAATGCTCAGTATGCACATTCCTGAATTGGACCCTGTTAATTCGTGTGATTTGACTATCAAGGGTTGTTAGCCCAGTGGTATGCCTACCTCCGAAAGTGGAAGTTTGAGGGTTCAAGTTCCCATATGAACACAATGTGTGGATGTATTATTTGTTAAATATCAGCAAAGATAATTACTCGTGAAACACAAAAGGGGTTCCGTAGAAGTGTCGGTTCATCTAATTTACTGAATGATACTTTCCATCCAAACTGTTCAGCCTATTTTCCTAACTAGATGAGGTGGGTAATGATTGTGAAATGATGCTTTCATTTTTAAAAATGTTATCTGCACAATTTAGATGAAAGGGAACTCAGCAGGGGATGGACAGAATCGAACATTGGACTATAAGCATAGTTCTGAGGGAGGCATCTCTGCATGCGCGCAAGTGTGTGAGAGAGAGAGTTTAAATATTTGAATAGATTTTTGATAGTCAGGTGAGAATACATTTTATAAAGGGGGCTACTGTCTCTATTTTGAGGTTCGCTGAAATATCAAATGGATGCCATCTTAAAATTTGAAAGCCCTCGACCAGTTATGGAAGGACTCTGTACCTTTTTAACCAACCATTCATAGCTCTCTTTCTTATCTAACGGGCTCATCAGGATCAAGAGTCATTAGAAGGCTCAACCATGGCAGTAGGATAGTCCTACATTTGAACATAGCCCTATATTTTGAGGATGGAGTAATTTGAGAGAATCCTTTTCTACTCAAGAAAACCCAAACTTGTGATTGTTTTTAAGGTAGATCAAGCCTATATGCCTTCCTAAAAAAAGCCTTCTGAGGGTTTTTAGGTTGTTAAAACCGATCAATTTCCTTGATAGGTTTCAACATAGGTTTTCCCAATCCGACTAAAACACATCCACTGGATGCATTCATGTGGACCCATATGAATATAACCAATGGATGTGTTTTCGTCTGTTTGGTATGTCCGCACATTTAGTTGGTTAAAATTGGTGGTAAAGATTTAGTTGAGATAAATGATTGTGAGAATCCAAATCCTTTAATTAAACTTTTTTGTTAGGAATATTATCAAAAGCTCTGCTTGTATCTTGTTTAGTGCGTTTCTTTACATAGTCAGTCTCAAGCTTGGAGGAGGAGGGTTAAATTAATGAGTTAGACTATCAAACTTTAGGAGAGAGTTGTTATACGAGGAATATGGCTTGAAATGACATTGTTGAACAATTAGTTTGAGTTTATACCAAGGAGCTCAACAAGGACTAACTGAATGGTACAAAAAGAAAAAAGATTTTCATATAATTTTTATATATTTTGAGAAAGCCTACAATAATATCCCTAGAGATATAATATTGTAAATTTTAGAAAATAAACTAGTTACAAATATATGTATAATGACATACCAAAGAACATGTATGATGAAACTATGACCACAACAAAAACAAATGTGGGAAAAACATGTGGATTTTCAATTACTGTAGGTTTACATCAAGGATCCACATTAAGTACATATCTTTTGCCTTAGATATGATCTAACAAACACATTCAGAGGTTCTAATTGTATGTTGTTTGTAGATGATATAGTTTTGATTGATTAGTTGAGATATGGCGAGATACACTAGAATCAAGATGGTTACAGATTGGTACTACTAAAACTGAATATATTTAGAATGCAACTTTAGTAAACCTAGGAATGCAAGTCATGTATTAGAGAGATCAAGGGTCAAAAGATACCAAAAAGCAAACAGTTTCTTAAGTAAACTCAATTGAGATAGTTTGTCGAAAGTGTCATGATGATCAATAACTGCACTGGTTGGGGAAAATGATGTAATCCTTCTTGAGGGTAATAGTAGGGGGAGGAAGATAAAAAATTGACATGAGTTCAGAAATTTAGGAAAGATATGATAGCATATGGTTCAACTGAAGTCATGGCCTTTAATGCGAAATGACAGAATAAGGTCCATATAGTTGATCCAAAATAGTTATGAAAAGGTGCTGTTTATGGTTTTTCCTTTTTTTCTTGGAGAGTTATAACTGCTCATTGGGGTTGAAATTGACACTTCTGTGAGTTTTCAAATTCTTGGGTTTTTTTTTTTTTTTAAGACATTTCGTCATTCAAACGGGTAAATCTCAAGCAACCCCCTTTCTCAAACCCTAGGAATGGCTCATTTGTATTTTTAAAATTGTTAGTAGTGAGTCGAGTAAAGCCAAACCCTTAGGGGAGGTCACTGATATTATACCTTTTGTATAGTGGTTTCATAAGGACTGTTTTTCCAAGGGTTCTTTAGGTTCTTTAGGCTTCAGCATGGCCATGTGCAAAAATAATATATAGGAAAAAAACATTGGAACTGTATTTCTGATATTTAAATTCTAACGGAAAATATTAAAAGAAATACATACCTGCTAATGGTTTAGCACGTGAAGTTGAGACAGCCAGTCCAGGAATCAATGTTCTTTCATCTATTTCAATCCCCAAAAGATCCAAATCAAGGCCTGCACCAAAGACCATTCTTGTCTCTAAGGATGAGACCTCCTCCTGAATAGCTGAGAATGGAGAAGTATAGTTAGTTTAAGCTAGGGAAATATTCACAAAAAAGTAAACTAAAGGTATTGATTTATGAGATGAGTGAAAATTGATTACAAGAAGGTTGCAAATTTTGACCATGGTGAGCTAAGAGTCAGTGAAGTAATTCCCATAAGAACTTCCATTGGAATTGATTGACAACCTAAATTTCCTAGTTTTGACTTGCACTGTCAGCACGCACCAGATTTTAAGGTCATGGATATAAACTTATAGATAGAAAGACAAGTTCAATGGTATAGACAATATCTTTTTCCATTACCATGTATTAATTAAAATGAAACATTCTGATTTGAACAAAAGTAAGAAATGATACAGACAATATTTCTTTTTATAATATATATATATATATATATATTATTTCCATTAGCTTACTAAAATGAAGAAGAAAGGAAGAGAAAAGAAGAGCAATCTTATATAGGCCAAAATTAATTTAAAGAAAGTTATATGCATGTACCTGAAAACGGTAACTGAACAAAAGCCCATTTTTCTCCAAACAAATTCTCTGGAAGTTCCATTGGGAATGGGTTATCCAGTGTCAGAAGCGGCTTAGAACCTTTTTGAAATCCAGGATGACGCGTATATACAGTCTCATAGCGTTCTTCCAGCCATAAAAGTAGCGAGACACACTGAATTAAATAAGGCACACAAGTTGCAAATATTTCAGATGCAGAAACAGCATGATTAACACCATCATATGCCATGAAAAAAAAGAGGATATGCAGAATGCGTGTTATGTATGTTTACCTTTTGAATATTAAATCCACATGGAATATTCATTGTAGGTCTAGGTAACATCATGACATATTGTTTGTACCTGCTTATGAGTAATGCCTTTTCTTATGAGTATATCTTAGAATGAAATTTTAGTTTTGCAAAAATAATTGGCGAATGATATCCTTAACATACTCTAAGACCACCAACTTCAAATAGAGCATGCAAGTTAAATATTTTCCACTTTAGATATATGCATGTATATATTAAGGATGGTATATTGGTATGCTGTTTTTCTCTTCTTGTAGCTGCTGTCAAGATATATGCCATCTAATACCAGTATCGCACAAACTGGGCTTATTTTCTTGATTGGGACAGTTCACCTTTGAAATCGACATATTCCAGCTCCTAGTAAGTAAAAATTGGATAGAATGTTTTTCAGGTAAATTCTAATTAAATTTTTTTTTTTTCAGTAAGTTTTGTTTTGTTTTTTTGGTTTATTTTTATTTTTTTCCTCAGTAGGTAAAATTAGATAGATGTTGATTGTACTCACATCCATGCAGCCAGTTACCGTTTGAACAGCAATTTGCCTTTCTATATCATGGTTTGTTTGGAATCAACTTCAAGCAAGAATGACTCTCAATGGTTATGGTGACCACAATGATCCAAAAGACAACTTTCAGAAATCTAATTCAAAGAGAAGAAGTACTAAAATTTCATCAAGCACCTTCCTAAAGCTCCAAATCCCACATAAACTTCTGTGAAAAAGAAAAGTTTCACAATATTCAAGGAATCACTTGAATGGTCATAAGACTTAAAAGTTTGAGTTACTTGAAAATTCTGTAAATTATGGTAGCCATTCTGAACTAATAGTACACTATCAATTGAAATAATATGAATCGAAAACCAATGTAACAAATGACAGTTGACAAAAGACAAAAGACAAATAAACCCCGAAAGAAATTGAACTTTTTTTTTCTTTTCTTTTCTTTTCTGGAAGTTAAAGCAGACACACACACCCAGCAGACACACACACCCATCCATTTCGAACTATCAACCTCCCCATCATACCATCCGGGCTAGAGGCCCGGAAAAATTGAACTTGCTGCTGAAGAGAAGCCCTTGATTTTAGGACCGTGCTGTATTTATATACTTGAAAATACAAAAATACATAATGTTCATGTGGAACTGCATGATTTGAGAATTGAAATTCAGAACATAAACTTCAATTGTTCATTTCCCTACCATATCTAGGATTGATTTTTTTTAAGTTCTAGGTGTATGTTCTTTGCAAAGATTACCAACAATTATTATTTGTTTCTTTCTAATAGAAATTTATTACTTCTATTCATACAAATGGTTAATTTTGTGTCAAATAGAGCAGACCATGGATAAATATAACTAACATTTCACCAGAAAGAAAGTGAAACATATAATAACAAAACCATTTACTCACCCGTTTACTCGGAACAGCTTTTATTCCAACCTCTTTGCATGCTTTGCCGATAATTGTCTGCATTTGTGACCTACAAACCATTAATGAAACCAATCAACTTCATATTTACATACAATTACAGAAACCCGAAAACACAAACACCCAAAATCAATTCAAAAAGGGGGAACAACACCCCTGAATTCACCTGAAGAACCGAATTTTATCCGGAAGAGGCACACCCAATTCTTCACTAATCGAAATAATTGCGTCCTTCAAAGTGATACTATTGATGACATTGTTAGGGAAGTACTTGGTGTATTGAAGTGACAACGAATTGTCACAAACCAAAAGCTCCCAAATCTTCTTCCCTCTAATATCAAGAATGGGTCTTGAGCAGAAGTCTAATTCCCACTCCGAAATGCCCTCCGGATCGATTTCCGGGTCAAGATAGCTCAATTCTGCAGTTGGGTCATCTTCTTCTTCACCGAGAGGTTCGGCTTCCACCGGCAAGGAAATCGAGCTTTCGGAGACTGAATTGGGTCGAAAATGGCGAGATCTGGGTTGGTTTAGTGGCGATTTGATGGAGAATTGAGAAAACTTAAATGGGATTTTGGTGGGCTTTGAAAGGGAAGTGAAGTTAGAGATGGGTTTGTGAGATTGAACCGTTGGGGTTCTGATTTTAGTGGGGTGGAAGCTTGCGCTAGCCATTGGAGCAGTCTCTGAAACTTGATAAGAGTGGCGAGTAATGAAAATTTACTAAAGCTTTTGAGTGATGGTAGTTATCCACCACATATATCCGTTGGTATTTGAATAAATATATTTTCTTTGGGTTTACAAAGGGATATAAATTATTAATTTGATAACAAAATGAGGTTATTACAGGACAACACTAAAATTATGAATTTAGAGTGGGGTTTAGAGAGGGGAGGTTACGTAAGAAGCATTGTCACTAATATGGGTTAAGTACACCGTACAACATGAATTTGCTAACGCGTGAAAGTTTAAGAGGTAGAACATATAATAATATAAATTTTCATTTTCATTTATATATCAATTTGTGTAGTCCGGATATTCCAAAAGAGTTGTCGTGGCCGTGTTGAACATGTATTTGATATGGATATGGTCAGGATATAGATGTGTTTGATACTGGCGGAAAGTATTTAATTTTTTAAAATAAATTTTTGAATATCCAAACACAAGGACACGCTTAGGATATGTTTAGGGTAATTTTACGATACGTATTTGGCAAATTTGTAAATTTTTTGTTTTATAAAGTGGGGGTCAATAAGTAATATTAATAACTTTTTTGCTTACAAAATTAAGATCAGATTGTAATTAAATAATAGTGTTTTAAAAATCCAAACAAGCCAAATATGCTACGGGAGGAAGGTAGATTCAGAAGAAAAATAAGAGAAATAAAAGAAAAAGTAGAGGAATCACACTAATATCAAATCCAATCAAACTCATCCCATAGTTCCTGCTTCTAAATTCAAATAAGATCCATAAAACCAGTAACAATTTTGTTTTATTTTTGAATTGATTTAGTTTATAAATTAAATATAGATGGTCTATTGTTTTGATTGTTATATAGAAAGATGAGTATTTCTCTTTAATCTATTTTGTTAAAAAAATATAGTAAGATGGATTTTTTTTTTACTTATTTTTATTATTATTTTTTTATGTATAATATTATATATTTTATTTATTTATTTATTTGACGTATCTTTGTTGTGTCTGTATTCTACCTTTTTGAGATTTGTCGTATTGTCATATTCGTATCGTATCACACCCGTATTCTGTGTCCGTATCTGTGCTTCCTAGATATCAATTAAATAATACAATTATAAAACTCTAATTAATTTATAATTTTTATAATAAAATTACATTATTATTATTATTATTTCCAGAGTAGTTATCCCCATGATGAGACTAATCCATCTCGGGACACACACAACACGCCACAGTTACATAAGTTATGAAATGAAGCTATTCGAATATTGAAAAGAATATATATATATATATATATTCTATCTTGAGCAGAGAATGCAAACACACTTGACAATTTTGTTTTCAGAAATAGTGTTTGTTTTATATAAGGCAAAGCCTTTGGAATTTGTTGGCCAAATGTTCGAGATGTGTTAACCAAGTGTTTAATATAATAAAAATTAATTTGTAAATTATGAACATGATCATGAAATGTTTGACACGTGTATAGAAATGTGCATGAAGTGTTTGTCGGATACGAACATAAAACCTTTATAAAAGTATTTGTGCTTCTTAGTTCAGTATACTTGAACTAGAGACTGTACAAAGGTTTTGAATAGAAAATTAGCCCAATTGAGTTGTTAGATTCTCGCCTTAACCCACGTTTTAAGGAATGGATTAAGAGGGATTTTATTCTCATTCTCGGTAAGACAGATTTTAGACGAATTAAGTCACTGTGCCAAATGGGGGAAAGGTACCCTTATTCTGCACAATTCAACATTACTTGTTTCGTTTATAATGAGTGGTATATAAGTGAGTTGTGATAGAGGATCCAAAAGTTAAATACATCCCATTGCATCAATGGAGCAGGAAATGACACGATCATCGCATCATTTCCCCTCCTAAAAAAGTTGATGCGGACCATCAAACTCCATATCATTCTCCTTTATAATAATATCGTTTAGGCTCTCTTTCATTCAACAAATCAATAATTTATTACAAACTAGAAATAATGTGGTCAGAGTTCGCTATTTCAATAAGCCACGATGGCCAACCGTCAAAATTAAAATCACTGGAAGGATCATGAAAAGCCCATTGACCTTAGTTTATAAATATGTATTCCTTTTGAATTTAAAATCTAAGAGAGAGAATTTTTATTTTTTTCATTTTCCCTTTATATAGTTTAAATTAAAAGAATAGTGCTACACATCTTAAATTAAATTTAAAATTTGTATCCTTATATTACTACATATTATTTTTTCTCTTTATTATTTTTATTTTTTTTGCTTTTGTGTTTTTATATTCTAGCAAACTAAACAAATTGCCCATGGAATGGATGTGAAAATGAGCAATCAAACAAACAACCCATCACAACGTGTCCAATATTTCCGTTGGCCTACTTTCAATTAGGGTCTAATACCATTTATAATAGCCAAAAAAAAAAAAAAAACAGTTCCAAATACCATTTGTAATAGTCCACTCACACCCGCCTACAAAGTTGCCACAATTATCCCCCTTAGAGGCTTGACGTGCCCAACGTTCCCGTTCGCTATACTTCCGGATGGACTCTAATACCATTTGTAGAAGCCCACCCTATCACATGGTATGATCTTGTTTGCTTTAAGCTTGTGGGTGTCACTTATTAGAAACTGACATGGCACGTTGATAAGTCAACATGACCCTAACCAAATCCCCCGTGGCGATTTGAAAAGTCAAAAGCCTTGAGAAACCAACCCTCAAGCACCCTAAGCCCTGGTATCGCTCCAAGCCCATCAAGCCTCGAGAAACCAACTCTCGAGCACCTTAAGCTCTGGCATCGCGCCAGGCCCATTAAGCCCTGACATCACTCCAGGCCCATCAAGTCTCTAGAAACCAACTCTCGAGCATCTTAAGCCCTAACATTGCTCCAGGCCCATCAAGCCTCGAGGGATCAACTCTCGAGCACCTTAAGCCCTGGCGTCGTTCCAGGCCCATCAAGCCTTGAGGGATAAACTCTCGAGCCCCTTAAGCCCTAGCGTCGCTCTAGGCCCATCAAACCTCGAGGGATAAACTCTCGAGCACCTTAAGCCCTGGCGTCGCTCTAGGCCCATCAAGCCTCGAGGGATCAACTCTCGAGCACCTTAAGCCCTGGCGTCGCTCTAAGCCCATCAAGCCTTGAGGGATCAACTCTCGAGCACCTTAAGCCCTGGCATCGCTCCAGGCCCGTTAAGCTTCGAGGGACTAACCTTTGAGCATCCCTAAGCCCTGGTATCGGTCCAGGACCCGTGCAAGCCTCGAACACCCCACATTCGGGCAATACCACTTTGGAGGACCAGAGCCCTAAAAGTCTCGATATTAGAATTCGCATATAGCACGAAACAAAGGTAGGGTTTTCGCAGCTATATAGAATCTAAGATTGGGAAACTTAGGAGGATCTTGGATTGGTGAATGAGAAGTCAAGAAGTGCCTTTGCCTTCAGTAATACCCAATTAGCAAGATGATGGGATTATACACGTTATGACAGCAAACCTTAAAATCACACTCAATGCTATGTCAGGCTTGACCAACCAACGGCTAAGCAACATTAAATGCCCTTGATTAAGGGAGAAATGACATGGCAACACAGTGCAAGGCTCGAGAGGATTAGACCTTTCAGACTCCTAAATCCCTAGGATAACCCATATAATCCGGATCAAGAGAAATGCACGCAAGAAGCCATGCACAGAAGGAACCATTGGGTAATAACCAATGGAATCTGGGTCTATAAATTGTACTATCCTATGAAGGAATAAACTAACTCCAGAAGAGGAAGCTGTCATAAGATACTGCATATTTACCCTACCACCATCTTAATCGTAATAGTTAGTCTTCTTCTCCTCCTTCTACACTGAGCATTTCCTCTGTTTTCCCTCGTATTTGTATTTTCTGATATCACCATTGCATTATTATATTACTTGATAAAAAAGAACCCCTATATTTTGGCGACACCGCTGGGGATATCAGTACAAGCAAATGGAATCACAGGAGATGCCAATTCATCAGTCAGAGCCCTCTGTTGGGGGGGGGGGGGGTGGTGACGCTTCCCTCTAGTCCCAGGTGCCGTCCCATGCCTTTAATGTTCATGCACCATACATCACAATGCCGAAAAGCTCAACAGCCCTTTCCGTTCATGAGGAATTGTTACAGTTCAACCGTGACCTTAACGACCGCCTTGACAGACTAAAGGCCCTGATTATGGAAGTGCACGGGCTAAAATCGCTTTTCCTACCAGGGTAACCTTGCCTGAGCACGACCAGCCAGGCAGTTCGTCCACTTATGTGCCGCCACTGTGGTATCCACCGACGCAGGCATAGGCAGCCCCAAAGCCTGCCCCAGTTCAGGTTGTCTCTTCTACAAACCCTTCCCTGGAGTATGTCACTGAATCTATGCTACGTGATTTCTTCATGAAGCATGCCCCGTCCGCCATGCGCGCGTTAGTACTACGTATGGAGCCTCCATATCCAAAAAGTCTCGCTCAGACTCCGTACCCACAGGGGTATATTATACCGAAGTTTCCCAAGTATGATGGCGTTAAAGGTGATGCTGATGAGCACTTGCAAAGATTCGTAGAGTCTCTAGGCCAACATAGCCACGATGAGGTCCTACGTCTTCAGAAATTCTCCAAGTCCCTCACAGGGCTCGCATACAGATGGTTTTGAAGCCTTGAGCCAGACTCAATCACCACTTGGTAACAACTCTCTCAAAAGTTTCATGACAAGTTTGGCCAAGCCATCGAGAGGGTCACCACCCTCTCACTCACCAAAGAAACACAGGAGCCTCACGAGGAGCCCCTTAAGTTCATCTCTCGCTTTTAAGCATGTGCGTGAGAATGCTTTGAGGGTAGCAGTGAGAGGGATCTGGTTGACATTTGCATACAGGGCATGAGCAAGACTCACATGATACACTTGGTCAACTTGGGGCTCAACAGCTTCAGCGATCTCACCACAGTTGTACGAAATATTTGCAAGGACGTCGCACCTACCAAAGCAGAGGTCGTTGGACAGGTCACTCGTAAAGATACGCTGGCTGTTCCTCGTAATGATAGGGCTAAGAAGCGTCGAGAAGCAG